TGACCAGACTTTGACAGGGAGCCTAGTCTGGGGATTCCACAGTCCAGTTACATAGCTTATTGACATTGGTCCTCATGCTCTCCCCAACACTGCCATGCAGTCACCTTCGAGCCAATATGTCCAACTTGCCCCTCTCTGGCGGCCATGGATTGGCCAAAGTCCATTGTGGCTGAACCACTGCACCAGCTGCTGGAAATAGAAGACCCCACGACACACTCTGAAGAAAAACAGCAGACCTCCGCAGTGATCTGGGCAATATTCCTCCTTGAACCAGCAGCACCATTGTCTGTGTTGCACACAAGTTCGTTCAAGAACTTACACAACAGCGACTGTGTGCCACAAAGGAACTTTGAATGTTCTACATCTTACAAAACCCGCACCACGTTCTCACGATCTTCGTGGACCTTGTGTTTGGATCCAAAGAGATTGAATTCATCCTCCCCTCCTGAGGAGTGCACCACTCAAAATACGGCAACAACTACACTTCAGAAAAGTACTCCTTTGGTCATAAAGTGCATTAAGATGCACCTTAGGTTCTCAAAGGCACTATATAAATGCAAGCCTTCATTTCTCTTAGATGATTTGTTTTGAGTTAGAGGATGAATAATCACGAGTAAGATACCACACATAACCCACTGTCAACAACCAATAGCCTCCATTAGCAGCTATTAATTCCCCAGACTGACCTTTATTTACTCCTTTGTCTGTCCAACTGTTTACTCTCTCTTTGGGCTCTAACATCACCTATTGTTTATTCCCCCCCCCACCTCATTTTTTGCATTAATAACAATCCTTTCCTAGTTACAATCAATCAGTTCTGAAGAAGGGTTGGTGGTAGACAAAGGAGGTTGGAAGAACACAGCAAGCCGGGCAGCATCTAGAGGAAAGGAGCAGTCAATGCTTTGGGTATAACCCTTCTTTAGGACCTATTCAGCCCTGAAGAAGGGTTATAACAGAAACATTGACTGTTTCTTTTCTCCATTGCTTCCTGGCTTGCTGTGTTCTTCCAGCCTCCTGTTTGTCTACCTTGGATTCCAGCATCTGCAATTTTTTTGTCACTGGACCTGAAATATTAACTCTGTTTTCTCTCCACAGATGCTGCCAGACCTGCTGAGTTTTATTTGACAGTGAGATACCAGCTGCCTGCCCATTGCACAAGTCCATGGAGTATGTTGAAGGTGTGAAAATAGATAAGTCCCCTGGGCCGGATGGGATTTATCCGAGGATTCTCTGGGAAGCCAGAGAGGAGATTGCAGAGCCTTTGGCTTTGATCTTTATGTCGTCATCGTCTTCAGGAATAGTGCCAGAAGACTGGGGACTAGCAAATGTTGTCCCCTTGTTCAAGAAGGGGAGTAGAGACAACCCTGGTAATTATAGACCAGTGAGCCTTACTTCGGTTGTGGGTAAAGTGTTGGAAAGGATTATAAGAGATAGAATTTATAATCATCTAGAAAGGAATAATTTGATTAGGGATAGTCAACACGGTTTTGTGAAGCGTAGGTCATGCCTCACAAACCTTATTGAGTTCTTCGAGAAGGTGACCAAACAGGTGGATGAGGGTAAAGCGGTTGATGTGGTGTATATGGATTTCAGTAAAGCGTTTGATAAGGTTCCCCATGGTAGGCTATCGCAGAAAATACGGAGGCATGGGATTGAGGGTGATTTAGCGGTTTGGATCAGAAATTGGCTAGCTGTAAGAAGACAGAGGGTGGTGGTTGATGGGAAATGTTCATCCTGGAGTTCAGTTATTAGTGGTGTACCTCAAGGATCTGTTTTGGGGCCACTGCTGTTTGTCATTTTTATAAATGACCTGGTTGAGGGCGTAGAAGGATGGGTTAGTAAATTTGCGGATGACACCAAAGTTGGTGGAGTTGTGGATAGTGCGGAAGGATGTTGCAGGTTACAGAGGGACATAGATAAGCTGCAGAGCTGGGCTGAGAGGTGGCAAATGGAGTTTAATGCGGGAAAGTGTGAGGTGATTCACTTTGGAAGGAGTAACAGGAATACAGAGTACTGGGCTAATGGTAAGATTCTTGGTAGTGTGGATGAGCAGAGAGATCTCGGTGTCCATGTGCATAGATCACTGAAAGTTGCCACCCAGGTTGATAGGGTTGTTAAGAAGGCGTACGGTACGTTAGGTTTTATTGGTAGAGGGATTGAATTTCGGAGCCATGAGGTCATGTTGCAGCTGTACAAAACTCCACGTGTGGCCGCACTTGGAGTATTCCGTACAGTTCTGGTCGCCGCATTATAGGAAGGATGCGGAAGCATTGGAAAGGGTGCAGAGGAGATTTACCAGGATGTTGCCTGGTATGGAGGGAAGGTCTTATGAAGAAAGGCTGAGGGACTTGAGGCTGTTTTCGTTAGAGAAGAGAAGGTTAAGAGGTGACTTAATAGAGACATACAAGATGATCAGAGGATTAGATAGGGTGGACAGTGGGAGCCTTTTTCCTCGGATGGTGATGGCTAGCACGAGGGGACATAGCTTTACATTGAGGGGTGATAGATATAGGACAGATGTCAGAGGTAGGTTCTTTACTCAGAGAGTAGTAAGGGCGTGGAACGCCCTGCCTGCAAAAGTAGTAGACTCGCCAACTTTAAGGGCATTTAAATGGTCATTGGATAAACATATGGATGATAATGGAATAGTTTAGGTTAGATGGGCTTCAGATTGGTTTCACAGGTCGGCGCAACATCGAGGGCCGAAGGGCCTGTACTGCGCTGTAATGTTCAATGTTCTATGGTTCTGCCTCTGAAAGAGCAAACTAAGAAGGAATTGGAAGACATCAGAAAGAATCAATGAATATTTAATTCTTAAAAATTAAATAAACCACATGAAAATGAATCATTCATACACTTTAATTAAAAATAGAAAGCTCCTAAATCTTCCCTTGCCCATTCTTTGTAAGATATTAAATATGCTAAGATTAATGCCAAGTAAATCATGCATACCAAATGAGACAACATTTTGCTTCACAATTATCAAAACAAGGCTTGACTATTTGATTTGTAAGAATCATCTTTGATAACAATTAGAATTTTACAGATTCATTTCAAATTGCTGCTGAAAATTAGCTTAATTAGAAAATACATTTACCTGAACTTTAGCACTGATCTGTTTCAGACTACGTGCTCAAATGGAAGAATTATAATTCCAGAAAAATATAACTGTCAAGCTTAGTTTCTAGCTGTAAGTTGATTAGACAGATTCCCTTTTAAAACTCAAATGCTGCAGTTAGTACCAGCGAAAATCAGCTGAAAGTCTCGAGTGGATTAATGTTAAAAGCAAAGATTGGAGATTGATTGAGAACTGAACATTCATCCAGCAGGGCTTGTAAAATGTGCAATCAACATAATTGAACTGCTGAGCCACCGTAAATCAGGACGACGTCTAAAAGATAAACTTGGATTTATTCATTTTGCTGTCTCTCAGGTATAAACCAGATCACATCAGACACAACAAATAACTTTGAGGGTGAAGTTACATTTGACAGTAGTGTTGGTTCTGTATTAAAATCAAGGTTTGGGACTGTGGAGCAAGGGCCAAGAAAGCCCCATTGGAGAAGGGAACTCGACTGAGGGTTAGGTCCCCACTCTGGGTATGCCCTCTGCTTGGGGATTCTGGAGTAGTGCAGAGTCAGTGGTTATGATTGGTGGACTGCTGGCTGTATCTACACTGTAACTACAGTACATGACCCTGAGGTTTGCTGAACAGTGTGTGACTATGGATACAGACTGGAAACCTAGCAACGCTCTATAGGAGAGGCACACGTCGCTATGAAGTACTGCTCCATGACAAAAGGTAGAAAAGACAGTGGACAGTCTTTCTGCAGTACCTTTAATATAATAAAACAACATAAAGGTAGAGTCTTATTGAACGAAATATGACCACATGAAACCACATAGAGATATTAGGTCAGATGACTAATAAGGTTGGTTAAAAAGGCAGGTTTTATGGAGTGTATGAAAGAGGAGGAGGAGTATAGAAAGACAGACAGAGATGCAGACCTTCCCAGTGCCTCAAATGCATATAAATATAGTCTTGTTCTACAAAGAGGTGCCTTTGGTTTGTTTGGATAGAGTCAAACTCCAATATTTGTTTGTTTCCTTGAAATGTTACTGTACAGAACCAAACTGTGTTTGTGACTATGGATATATATGTATAAAGATATTTTTTACGAATAATGTATATTTGTAATTAAAAAGAGAGAGACAGACACACACACAGACAGACAGACAGAACAGAACAGAGAGAGAGAGAAGCTTAGAGTTGGAGAGTGTAGGAAGGATGTTTCAGAATTGAGTCCCTGCCACAAATAATGGAAAAATTAAAATCAAGGATGCTCAGAATTGGAGGAGCAGAGACTTTGTAGGATTGGAGGGGATTTCAGAGATAGAAGGGTGAGGACATGGAGGGGATTTGAAAACAAGGATGAGAATTATAAAATCGAGACCAGGTTTGACAGAGAGTAAATGGAGGTCATTAGCACAAGGGAGATTGGTGAACAGGACTTGAGTGTGTTCAGGAACAGACAGCAGGGCCTTGGATGAGCTTGAGTTTCTGAAGGATGGAATGTGGGAGTGCAGCCAGGAGTGTACTGCAGTAAAGCCTAGAGGCACAGATGAGGATTTAAGCAGTGGACGAGGCAAGATCTTCATTGTAGGAAACAAAGGGAGACACAATGTAGTAAAAATATTGCTGAAAGAAAGGTGGAGGTTACGGAAAGGTGCACTTAAACAAACAAGCAATCATTGCTAATCATAGGATAGTTTTCACTTCCTACTTGCCTCTCAGCTGTGTTTTTTTCTGAACCATAGCCATTTGCTAATTTGCTGATCACTAATTGCTGCCAATGTTGTGTGTAGCTCAAAGTGGGTGGAATCACGCATATGTTTGTCCCCTCTCACCGATCCATCTCATCCAGCAAGAAAACAGACCGTCAGTGAAAGAAACTGACTCAGTTTTGTTGAGGCAGCTTTGTTGGCAGAATGTTGCTTACCGTGTACAGCTCATTGAGAACCTTCATTAAATCCTCGTGCAGTTGGAACCCAATCTCCTTGCTCTGTAATAAAGACAAACGCATTTTTCACTCGATTGCTGAACACACACACGTCACTTCACATTAAGGAAAACATTAAGTCTGAAATTTATTCCCTGTTGCTTCACCAATGAAAAGCTAAACTTAGAACACTTGGACAAAAGAAAGCTTCTTAAAAAATGCATTTTAAACATGGATTGTTCATTACGCAATCACATCAGAATGTATTTAATTGACACAGAAAAACTACAATATGATTAGAATTTATCAGATTAACATAAATTGTAATGACACGTCCAGCAATAGACAATTCAAAAATACTTTATAAACACTTGGAAATGCAGTATTTCTAGTGAGGCAGTAACTATTGAAGCTGAGGGTATGCACAAGTCAAGCAAATTTTAAAATAAAAACACCCTCGACTCTAAATTAATGGAAGATTCAATTAAATCAGGAGTAATCATTCACCTTATTAACATGGGGTTGCATGGACAGTATAAGCACTCCAGTGGTTCAGAAAGGCACCTTCTCAAGGGCAACAAACATTAGCCTTGCCATCCAGAGGCGTAATTACTGTCCTTAAAAGAAATGCACTGGCAGATAATTCCAACTGTTTGTGCGATACACTAGAAATTGCAGCGAAGAAAACCAAGTGGTGCCCCTTATCTGTATTATTGCTTACTCCGCGATTGGGCATTCTGGTATCACCCCATTTCCCCAATCGGTTCACACCCTTTAAAAGGGGCAATGGCATCAACACTGCTCAGGGGATACAAGTGGAATGGCAAATAATATTCTGCAATAAAGGAGCGTGTTGTTTAAAAAGACACAAACCAATTGAAAGATCCTCAAAGCACTATTATGAAAGGAGAGTTCTGGCCAATGGTTATCCCTCAACCATCACCACTAAAACAGGTGATCTGGTCATTATCACAGTGCTGCTCGTGGGATCTCGCTATACGCACACCGATTTCCACATTTCCTACAATGATATAGTGATTACTCCTCAAGAAGTACCCCCTGGCTGTAAAACACATTGGAATGTCAGGCGGGAAGGCCTATAAATTAAATTAATGCCTTTCTTTCAAGGGATAAGCTTGCAATGATATTTTGAACCTGTGCTTTCATTGGTGCCTATGGGAATGTGACAGGCTCGTCACCATTCCTCAAACGCCACTTACCTTTCAACGAAAAGACCAAAAAGTTGTGTGTGAAGCTGGGGTGCGACTTATAAGAATGGTTCCAGGAATGAGGAACTTCAGTTAACAGGACAGTTTGAAGATGGTGGGAACTGTTCTCCTTGGACAGAAGAAGGCTGAAAGGAGATTTGATAGAGTGGGCTAGACAGTAGAGATGCAGTGAAGCTGTTTCCACTTGTAGAAGAAATAAGAACAAGAGAATATTGACATAAAATGATATGCAAATGAAACAAGGGTGACATGAGAAAAAACTTTTTCGCACAGCGAGTTTTTAAGGGTGTGGCATGCACTGCCTGGAAATGTAATGGAGGCAATTGGATGATTATTTAGATAGAAAGGGTGTGCAGAGATATGGGGAAAAGGCAGGAGATTAGCAGGAGGTAACAGAACTGGACTAGATGTTGGGCACGATACAGGCACAACGGGCTGAATGGTCTCCTTTGGCACCAAAATAATTGTGTTTCTGTGAAAGATAATCATATGTCCAATTGTAGATGAGCTTTTATGCACCTCCAGGCCAAATTCTGTGCAGCCAAAGGGCGATTTGGAAATTTTTCTTTCTAACATATGAGCGGGGTTCCCTGAAGCCGAGAGTTTGTGAATCGTTGATTCAAAGTCACCAACGATATTGCTGGCTATGTGCAGATGACTGTATTTTGGGGCTTAATGGTTAGCCACAAACCTTTTAGCGTTAAGTATGTATCCGACCCAAACAATGAAAAGGCCATTTCGAATGGGTTGAGGTTGCTGCATGAATAGATTCAGACAATTCTAGTCACAGAACCAGCCTCTCAAAAATTGCTGGCTCATTCGGAGAGTGGTCTGAACAATAGACGATGTTTGTGGACAAAAGTATTCACACCAAATTTGCAGTCCAGTGTTTTTCTCTGAATGCTGGAGGTTAAGATACGAGGTCGGTATGAACAGAAATTTTTTTGTCTGTGTTTAGCTTGCGAGTGCTTTGTCCCAGCATTGATACCTCTGCCTTGATGACATGGCATGTTCATTCCAACTTTTAAAAATTTATTTTGTGGGATGAGGGCATCATTGCAAGGCCAGAATTTGTTTCCCATCCCCTAATTGAGTCAAGGACAATAAATCAGAATTGCTACAGTGCAGAAGCAGGCCATCTGGCCCACCAATCCCTCTACTCTATCCTCTTAACACTGCATTTCCTATGGCCAATCCACCTAGCCTACACATCTTTGGACTGCAGGAAGAAACTGAAGTACCCAGAGGAAACTCACACAGAGAGAACGTGCAAATGCCATACACAGCTATCCGAGACTGGAATCAAACCCAGGTCCCTGGCGCTGGGAGGTAGCAGTGCTAACCACTGAGACACTGCACCAACCCTGCAATCAGGTCTTGTCTGGCATTTGAAGACAGGACCTCTCATATGTCTGCAATATACAAGGCCCTGGACCAACAAGCCATTGCCTTTTCCTTCCCTTTAAGGGCATTTGTGAACAAGATATGTTTTTACACCGGTGATAGCTTCACGATACCCATTACTAATATTAGCTTTTATTTTTATAAATTATTTGATTGTATTTCACCAGTTGCCATGGTGGAATTGTGAGCCAGTAAATCCTTCAGCGCATTATTGTGGGCCTCTGGCTGACTAATCCAAGGCGTTACCACTACACTACTGTTTCTGTGTCTACCACTTGAGGAATATCCCCAAACTAGGGTCACTTTTCCTTACTTCTCTTTGTTTGACTTGCACATATCCTGTGAGCTTCTCGTGCAGGCTTTATCAAACCAGCTACACACCGGCATTACTCCTTGAATCAAATTAAAATAGCAGCTCAATCTGCAGGCTAAATGGCCTCATTCCATTAATGCTCAGCTCCCCTTCAGGGTTCATGCTTACCAGTCCTGCCTTCTCCCACATGTCTATGTCCAAATGCTAGAATGGAATCAACTCTCTAATGGTTTATGCCATCAGGGCTTTTACAACAAGGTATATTTGAATCCTGCACCAAGTCATCTCACATTGGTGCCCATACTTCCCAACTTTTGAGATTTTTCTTCACAAACCTCTTCCTTTCCCTCCACCTTCTGCTCTAAATAGGTGTCTCAGTGTCAAAGTTTCTTGAATAACACAGCTGTGAAGCATCTTAGGATGTCAAAGCTGAAGGTACTACGTAAATGCAAGTAGTAGTGCCACAACTGCAGGACCACAAGATCCCAGTTCAAGTCCCAGCTACCAGGCAGGTGTGAAGATGTCCAAACAGATTGATTAAGATACTTTTTCTTGTACATAGCTGTATAATTCAATGACATCTCCCAGGAATTCCATTGATCTTCATTTAAGATACAAGTACAATTAAGGCTGCAGACTCTGCTCGTGTTTATCATCGTTCTTGACCTGATCAGTGAGTTTGCTTCTACTGAGAACTATATTGTCTTACTCAGAATCACAGCCTAATTATCTGGTTCAGCTGATGGATGGCTTTGCAGCCGAAAGATGATGATAAATGGAATAGGCTCTATCTGGGACACAGTAACTGAGGGAATTCTGCACGAACCTTAATGTTTGAATTTTTCAAGGCTGACATGGAGGATTACCTTTCTGCTAATAATGCTGCGTGCGATGGCGATGACAGCAAGTTGTGTAGCCTGGTAACAAGTGCAGACTGACCGTATTGAAAGCAATTTAAACAAATTAAGCTATGTTTTGCACGACCTATCCTCAAGGGGTTTTAAAATAAACGTGTTTCTTTATTTTATAAAGTACCGTTTCAGTTGGCAGGATGCCCCACAATACGCTTTTTGAAGTGTTGACACTTCACATTTGTAATCACAGTGACCAAATGTCCCAGAAACAGCAAATTGGATAATTACTCATTTTGGTGGGATGGTTTGAGAGATCGATAATAGCCAGGCAAAATTTCCTCACTGACATCTTAAATGTTCACCTTAGCTAACCTGACAAATGAATAAGGGGATCATCTGACATCGCATCAAAAATATGGTAGCTCCAACAATACAGCATTCCCTCAGGATTAGATGGGAAGCAAACTTCGCATTTATACAACACCCTTCACAACCACACAGGGCATCTAAAGCACTTGCCAGCCAATGGAATGGTTTCATAATGTAGCCAACGTGAGATGTGTTGAAGACACAACACATGGCAAAGTTACCCGTGGAATACCGGAAGAAAAATGATACTGCGAGTGGGATTTTTCAGATGGAGAGAGTTTTCCCACTCCAACACAGCAAACATCATTGGGGAATGCACCCTTGTCAATGTTAGCAACGAATTATTCATCCAGTTTGGCTAGAGATGGGACTATTGCTGCTTACTCAGAGAAATCCCATCTTAGACTGACCGCAAGCTTAGCAACCCTCAGTAGAGCCGCTGGGTGAAGTGGCCACTGAAGCAGGAAAGGGGCCCTGCAACCTACAGAATGTATGAACAAGGAACAAGAGTAGGCCACTCAGCCCTTCAGGCCTGCTTTACTATTCAATAAGATCATGGCCGATCCGATTTTAACCCTAACTCTACATTCCTGCACACCTTCGATAACCTTTCATCTCCTTGTTATTTAAAAATTTGCATCAACTGCCTTTTGAGGAAGGCAATTCCAAAAACTCTCAACCCTTGGAGAAAAACTGTTTCTTCATCTGATTTAAATAGGTGACCCCTTGTTTTTAAACTGTGACCTCTCGTTCTGGATTCTCCCACAAGAGGAAACATCCTTTCAACATCCACCTGGTCAAGTCCCCTCAGGATTTTATGTTTCAATTAAGTCATATCAGACTCTTCTAAACTCCAGAGGATAGGGGCCTAACCTGTTTAACCTTACCTCAAAA